CCCCAAAACCCCAAAACCCCAAAACCCCAAAACCCCTCTCAGCCAGAATTATCTTGAAACCTCTGTCACAAAATGCTTACATTCCATCTCTAAACTCCTTGCAGATCTCTCTCAGTTTAGTCGGCTTCTTAAACTTCTGTTCTAGTGAAAGGATGCATCCAGCTATAGTTTAACAAAGTCGTATTTACATTTCTTTTGATATTTATCTTCAACTTCTTTCTTCTGATGTTGTTTATATTCCTAGAGATTACCTAGATGTACTCACCTTGACTATATCTTCGTTACCGATGTCTTTCAAGAAGTCAACATCAAGACCGTAAATGCTTTCCTTCTTGATAGCAGGCCGACTAGCCGCTCTCTTGCCAGGAAGAGTTGTTAGGGGTTTCCTTTTCCTCAGCTTTAAGCCGTTTGTTGAGATATCCTTCCCTGGTGTCCCACCGTTTGAATCCGCTCTCTTGATTTTAATTCTCTTGCGAGAAATCCCATTGGTTGTCTCTGACCTTTTGAATTTTAACGATTTCCCAGTTTTGGGCAAACATTTGCTAATATTCGTAAAGGAATGCGTACCTTCTGTCTTCTCCATTTTCTTCAATTGCTTTATTTATTAATCTTCAGAGGTAGCTTCACCTTCTTAGTTTTTAACGATGGCAGTTGATTTTTAGACTTATTCATTTTGAATGAATCAGATTTATTATTTTCCTCTTTACCGGTGTTCAAGAATTTTTCCTAAAAGTATCAGAAAGGCCGTACCTCAAGCCTAGATTTGAATTCGAATAGTTCCTTTGTAGAAGGCTCTTCTATTTCAACAGGTTTTGGCAGCTCCTTAGGCTTGCCTCTGTTCATAACGAGGTCTTGTTGGACTTGGATTTCCTCCTCTAACTCTGTTGTTTCTTGTTCAATAATCTTTGCAATTTCTTTGACAATCTCGATTTCACTTTTACCGAAATCGAGTACTCATTTATCAAAAGGAAGTTGGGGAATCATCTTGCCACTCTTGCCTGCAAACCCATTAGGAAAGGTTGAAGCCATTGAAGCATTGTCAGGAGTATCTTCATATTTCGAAGACATTCTAGTCGATGCCGAGACAGGCCTATCAGTAGCATTCGATTTGTTCTGAACATAAGACACTAAATGATTAGCATAACCAGCTGTTACCGATCTGCATATCTCTTTTGTTGGAAGCAGGAATAAGCATATCTTCATCTAGCCCATTCTTCTTAGCTTTCTAGAAGTTAAGCGGAGACTCACCCTTCTCAGGTTAGTTATAAAGAAAGAAATTTCTTTTTCCAGAAACTCAGTGTTCTTGTTCAAGAAAATTCTTGAAGGGGTCTTAGTTTCTGATGGATCTTCCTTAGTTTCCTCTTCAAGGTTCATTGCTTGAAGGTCAGCTACAATATCCATATAGTTTTCTAATTCAGCTCTGAGCTCCTATATAAAAAATTTTCAAAAATTTTCTTTAAAAATGCTCGATTAAAACTAATTTCCCCAACATATCTCCTCAACCCAAAAACTCCCAAATCCCTTCTAAATTGCATTCACAAAAATTTTACATTTTCAACTCAAACAGCTCAAAATCTAGAAATTCCTTCTAACCAGACAACCCCATTCTCACAGGAACCCACTGCATCCTCCTCCACTGCCTATCCTCCTCTTAAACCCTTCCTAACCACCCACTCAATACCAACCGCCTACCTCATTCTTCTGTACGAGCTCTAGCCCAATAATCCTCGTAAATTCATCTTCTTCACTTCCATTCAAATTAGCCTATGAGTCAAATCTCTAGCTGTACCTTAACCATGTCCCACACAAGGGTTACTTTATGTCTGTCCTCCATTTAAAAATATTCTAATTATCTCTAGCTTAAAGTTAAGTTTTGGGGTTTTGGGGTTTTGGGGTTTTGGGGTTTTGGGGTTTTGGGG